TACACAAACCAACTCTATTCACACGTTTTCTCACTTTTACAAGAATGCCTGCTGGCAGAGATGTTCAGTAACGAAGTAGAACTACTTAAGTACCAAAATGCAGTATCTGTACTTTATTGGAGTATATATTTTTTCCCTACTTTTACTTTTACTCCACTACGTATTTTTGATTAACTTAATAATTTTACTTTTACTCTACTACATATTTTTGATTAACTTAATACTTTTACTTTTACTCCACTACATATTTTTGAATAATTTAATAATTTTACTTTTACTCCACTGCATATTTTTTATTAATTTAATACTTTTAGTTTTACTTTCACGGGCTGAATTGTTACTCATTACTGATTTGTAAACGTATGATAGATAGCTCTGTCAGTGGCTCCTCATTGGGCGATTTGAGCCATCAAGCATAGCCTATAAAAAAAATGCCGCCCAAAATATTGCTAAATCATGGCCTTCAAAGATTCCCCATCTAATCTGAAGAAGCATATCAAAGTACGTTAAAAAATACAAAGACATATAAACTAGTAAATAAGAGGTAGTTCAGTTCTCCCTGTTCACTCAGGACGTAGCAGCTAACGTTAGCTAAAGCTAACCTAGCTGGCTAGCTGTATGCTACATGCTAGCATAAAGGCTCAGCTCAGGATTCTGACTCTGGAATAATAAATAATAGTAGATGAAGAGCTGTTGATTGCTAACGCAGATGTAGTTTTCTGTTTTTTGTAAACACCTGTATGGCCTTTCACACGTTTGAAATAATATAAACAATATCTATCAAACCTTTAACTGCCTTTTTTTTATATATACACAGTACTTGTACTTTTACTTATACTTGTACTTTCGATACTTGAGTAGACATTTTTTTAAATACTTCTATTTGCAATAATTAAGTACAAAAAAATGGAGTAATTCCACTTAAGTATGGTGTTGAAAGAACACTTCAACTTTTACTCAAGTCAATTCTTTTATATATTACTTGTACTTCTACTTCAGTACTTTATCCATCTCTGATAACTGGCTAATTTCTAAAAGCTCGACAACCTGTGAGTGCATGTTCAGGATAAATCTCCGTGCACGTGTGAGCACACAGCTCACCTTAAGACTGCTTTATTAGCTTTAAATTACCGCTAGCAATCAGGGATTAACTCATTGGCTGCCAAAGACGTCTATAGACGTCTTTTATGTTTTTCAACGAGAGTGGCTGGGGGACGATCTGCTAAAGCTTGTCCGTAAATATCGGCTTCTAGACAGAGTATGTAGTAACAAATTGACCCTCTAGGTGGCAGTGCCACTTTTGATGGGAGATGAGCATAGATTGTAGGCAAATAAGAAAAAGGTAAGACGCAAGTCGAGGAAGAACGGAACAAGGTAGAAACAAATGTTTTTTCCTGATGAAAGAAGAGAGTCTACTCTTTCTTTTGGTGTGTTCGGTGTTTACATAGTCATAGC